TATTTGCTAAAGGTCCCTATTTTGTTGTATAACGGTGACCGCCATGTTTTCCACACAAGCAATTTAGACCATCCATTTTCTATACGAAGCATAATTCAAGCATTCAAAAATGCCATGAAGGACGGATAGCTTATTAATTCCGCCACCGCTAGATAGTATCCCCACCGTATAAAACCGCTGCAAAAATCGATACTTTTCCTTAATCCGACTCACAAAATAGGCTGAAACCGCTTAACCGCCAAACTATAATAGGCCCCCTCTATGGTTTTGCCAAACAAAAGGTGGACTTGACGCGAAATATCAAAATGTTCAACTAACAACAATCCGCGCACAACAAAACTTGTTTCAAACATTAAAGTTTCACGTTATAAAAATGACAATGTTTTTATCTGCGATTGTTCGTTCGTGGACGCAAACGACGGTAAATACTAAAAAAATGACGGTCCCAAGATAAAGTACTGAGAAGTCAGGATTAGCAAACCGCTAGCCTAAGGCGGATTCTCCGCCCGCGCACTTTTGAAATTTTATAAAATGTCAAAATACAGCGCACGTGTGCTTTCCTGTTGCAATTTTTGCAAATATTTGATGAAAATTTAACCGAATTACAAGACTACGAGAAATATTTGTGTTTTTTCAACGTTTATGGGACACTGCAGTTGCTGGTTGTAACTGGTTTGGCAGATATCGTTGAGTTTTTCGCCTTGTGGCCCTTGTCGAATGTTGATGTATTTAAGCACTGGTCGTTTGAGATAGGTAGGTGTTCCGTTTATATTCCGTATTTTTAATGTATTTTTAATGTAATTTTTATGATTAATGTTTTACTATAAAGTATCTAGGGGCGCCGGAAGTAATGTGAAGTGGCGGGGGCAGCCATTTCAAAAGGGCACTTGCTTCTCAGCCATAATTTTTCTGGACGGCAATATTTGTTAAAACTTTATTGCATGGATACCCGATTACTTGTGGCTATTGTGGGTCGGCAAATTTCGACATTAATTTTGAACAATTTTATTTGTTGCACCATGTTAAGGGCGCAAAATAAAATCAGTAAACGGACGTATATTGCTACCCTGGATTCCAGAGCCTTCGACAGTAAATAATAAATTGAAATGTTGCGAAGGCTCTGGTTCAACGGGGCGATTCTTTCAAATGATTAAGCCGCGCCAATCACAAAACAGAATTAGTGGTTTTAGATTGGCGCGGCTTAATCAAAGAATCGCCCCGTTGAACCAGAGCCTTCGCGACATTTCAATTTATTATTTACTGTCGAACTGAAGGCTCTGGAATCCAGGGTAGTATATTGCCTGATTTAGCATCAATCAGGGGCCGCGGAACCAGGGGGCAATGGGGGCATGTGCCTCCTCACTTTTTTAAAAGTGAAAAAAATGCCCTTTTGGGGGGCTAGAAAGAAAGTGCCCTTTTTGCAGTAGTAAAGACTCTGTAAAGGCCAAAATTTTTCGTTCGGCTCGTGAACGACATAAAATCGTTTGATTTTGATCATAATTATACAAAAGTGATTCCGTGGCCTCTGGCATTAATTTTACTATATCTGGTAATAGTAAGCAGAGATTGCTTGAACATTGCTTAAAAATACTTATAAATTCCAATTCATGTGAATAACGCACAAATTTTGAAGCGCAGTTCTGGTGAAAAAGGGCAACCTGTTGCCCCCGTGCCGCCCCCGCACTGTTTCGGCAACGGGGGCACCGCTGCCCCTGTGGCTCCGGCGCCGCTGAAAGTATCGCTTTCTAAATATTCAATTCACCATCAAACTGAACAAGTAGTTTTAGTACGATCAACTTTGCCGAGGTTGTCTTATGTACAACAAATTTTCTATAACAAGTCTTGACACTCTTTGTCTTTCTTGCCGCCAGACAGCTATCAACGACAATAGATCGCTATTAAACTAACTGTGTCCAAGGACTCAAATTGCTTTGTCAAATTCAGTTTCCTTGCCAATTTTTTTCAAAGACAAGCACACTTGTTCAAAAGCTAGCATGTTACACTACCTTTTCAACAAATGTATACTTGGAATAAAACTTGTCATATCTATAAACTCACTCATCTGTTACCAGCTTCATACTTTTGTTTTAGAGTATGAAATAAAAGTATAAAAAATCCTCAAAGTGAAAAACTAATTTCATGTGGGGGGCATTATAAACAGCATGTCGTATGAATATATAACTGTGCTGTTCTTGCATATTTTGCCGAATATACTTGATGTGTATTTGAATATTATTTTAACTGACAGTTTGTTAGAATTTCTATGTGGACTGTTTTAATAATTAAAATACTTTCTCATACAACAAGCAAACATTGACTTTCAAAGAAATTGATTTTTGCCATTTTTTCAAAGTTTTCTTACCAATGTAATCGTAACCCAATTGTAACATGTGGTCATTCTGGCAAAACCCAAGGCTCATGCACATTTTGCTGTTCTTCACTTCCGAATGGAAATTTCTACTATATAGCTTTTTATAAATGATTGTACCGATGATAATCAGGGCCAAAATAATTTAATGGTTTGTAACCGTTTGTCAAAATAATTTGCCAATTTACATATTAATCACCCACAAATGAACTCGGCAGCCACTAAATGTATTTTTATCTTTTGTCAAAGATAAGAGTTTAAAATCAGAGGTTACAGTATTATATGAATTTATCACTACTGTGCGGGCCAAATGGAAGTCTACGAATCCAGCATGGGAAATGAAATATGGGTTTGTAGACTACCAAATGAGTTCTTTCATTAGACCATTATAAATATACGTCATGGTCTACAGAACAAATTTGCCTCCACAGTGCTGATATTTTCAGTGTTTTTAACTTTAATGGACAAATAAACACATCACAAAATTTTGACAGTAACTGCTTTTAAAACCACAAATTTATGAATATACAACTTGTGCTAGGAGTGCCGCCCAGAGGGGGGGGGGGACGGCAAGGTGGCAATGGTGCCCCAGTTAAATGGAGCCTCAAAATTTGCAAAGGGGGGGGGGACCCGAAAAATGTAATTAAAAAAAATAATTTGGAACGTTTTTTTATATAAGTCATGGTATAAGAGAAATCTTTTAGACCTGAATTTTGCTGGTATTTGTCTGGAAAATTTTTTTGAACCTTTTTTTTTGGATATGTCTGAGAAAATTTTTTTACTCCCACTAAATAGGGGCCCTGAATTAAAAATTTGCCCCGTGCCCCCGAATTTCTCTGTGTGGCCGTGAGTGCTAGTTATTTATCGTTATACACTTCTCAAAATTCTAACAGTTTAACTGCTTTTAAAACTACATGAAATTTATGAATATGCAACTAGTGCTAGCTATATATATTGTACACGTCTCAAAATTTTAACAGTAACTGCTTTAAAACTACATGAAATTTATGAAACATACTTAATTGTACTACCAGTTCAATGTCTGGTCACTCTTGCCCTAATATACAAATGCTATATATATTGTTACTTAATTGTATTCCCATGCAGTTCATCATCTTTTACTCTTCGTCTATATATATAAATGGTATATATCTTGTTACTTAATTGTATTGCGATGCAGTTCATCATCTGTTACTCTTTGCCTATATACAAATGCTATATATATATTGTTACTTAATTGTATTCCCTCACTGTAAATTTCCAAATGAATCAACTGGAAAAGTGGTCACCAAAAACGGTGACGGAATAACTTTTTTGGAGTTGATTCAATTCTTTGAAATTTCCAGTGTAAACGTGTACGTGCTTTGGTCGCTAAGGTTAGTTTTGGGGTTCCAAGTGATAGCATCAAGTTCTTTATTTTTATCAGATCTCGTACGAGTCCTGCTTTCTATTGAATAAGGGACTAGTTCAGATTAGGGCAGGCTTATCGCGTTCATGGTTAACTTATGGAACAGTATGTTTTTCTTTTCTTTGAGCATGTTCGGACTCTCAATGATGCTTCATCGGTTCTTAACCAAGATTCGTGTCCCTCACGCTTAGCCATATCAAAGGCGGAAAGCCCAGACGAATCTTTTAGATAAATGTCTGCATTGTGCTGAATAAGGATTTCAATAGCACGTTGTTTTCGAGCAAGTCCTTCTTCAGTGTCATCTCCTGATTCAAATGCATAATGAAGCGCAGTACGTCCATAAAAATCCTGTTGATTCACTTCAGCTCCGTGATCCAAGAGTAACGACACCGCCTGTTCCGCCGCAGCTGAATCCTCAAAAAGATCATTTCGGTTCTCACACGTTAGCATTAGGGCAGTTACCCCAAGACCTCCTCTGTTGCTTGGGTTTGCTCCATGTTTTAAACAGTTTTCTACCATTTGTAGCGTTTCATATTTGTAAAACCGAAGTATTGTTGCTAAAAGCGAGTGCCAGGCATACTTGAACTCCACATAAATCATTCCATCTCTCAGAAGGCGTTCAATTTCTGAATAAGAATAAAGCATAATTATATACATGTATACGGCCAACTATAGTGAAACTACATACTGTACCTTGCAAAGAATACACATTAACACTATCAGAGAGGTGTCTGTATGAGCGAGGTATCTCTATTAGGGAGGTATTCATATTAGAGAGGTATCCGTATTGGGAAGGTAGGCTACGTCCACACTATTAGACTAATCCGTTTTCGAATCCCTTCGTTTTTGATGTTTCGAAAACGCATACAAATATCCGCGTCCACAGTAGCGTTTTTGGATCGTTTTTTACCACACTAGCACTTAGAAAACGATAATTTTTTATTTTCGATTTGCATTCTCTTTACCGTTATTCATGCAAAAATCTACAAGAAGGCCAGGAACATTTTTACGGGAAAGAGACAAATTTACCGAGGTTGGACCTAAAAACGTCGGCGATGGCTTTACAATCTCAGAAATAAATTAAATGATAACCTAGGACATAGTGTAGAGCATTTCATTGTGTTTGCAAGTTATGCTTGCAGATTAATCATCATTATATCCAGTGCAAGACAAGCAATTCATTTGAAATTCGGAAAAACAACACACTCACTACGAATGATTGTGTCATGCCGTCCGCGTTTTTGAAAACCTTCGTTTTCGCCCGCCCACACTAATCCAATGTATACGCCCGCGTTGTCTTCACCTACTTTCAAAGCCGTTTTCGAACAGCTCCGTTTTCATTGATGAAGGCATCCGTTTTCCATCGTATTAGTGTGGAAGATCGGCGAAAACGCGTGCAAAAGTATACGTTTTCAAACGAAAACGGATTAATGTGGACGGCGGTACATTGGAAAGGTGTCCGCATTATTACAAAGCGTTGATATTAAAGAGGTGCCCGTTTAGAAAGGCGTACGCAGCAGAGAATTATCTGGATCATGCATGGCTCGATTCTTCCTGTCCCCCCCCCCCGGGATTTATGTATTCTTTATTCCTAAACTGTCAATTCCCCACCCCTGGGCAAATAAAGAAAAGCCAATTCCCCTCCCATGGCCAATATTGGACACGAACACGTTATAAAAATTTCACGAATGTCGACATTTGAAAGGCATTCACTAAGCGATAGAGCGTGTTCACTAGGGCTATTAAAGGCCATGTTAGTACAGTGTTAGTACATTTTTTCTTCCAGTTTCCAACGCAATCTCTGATCTACAGCAATGTTTAAATATGGAAGAAAAAACAATTGCAGTGCAAGTGGGCTCATGTTTTGCATTTTTCTACGAGTCCCAAAGCCCCTCGCCTGTGAACATGTGTATTCCTAATCCCTACCCCCACGGGACACCTCCTGGACCACGTGCTCAACAAAATTCCGTCGGTGTACATTTGGGGGATGGTAACAGGAAGAATTGAACCATCCATTACAGAGATGTGCGTAATAAGCCGTATTCTGTGATTTGGTTTCAATTCTGTCTCCCCCCTCCCACCCCTTCGGGCGCAACTTTAAATCTACATGAATCTATAGATTTTTATATGCTGGTATGAATTAACTTGTTGTCACTCGTAAAAACCTGAAGTTTCTTTGTACTTTACGATGAAAGATCAATATTTTGTATTAACATTATTGCACCAATTCAAGTCTCTTATCACGCGGTTATATGCAGTAAATCGTCAATAATTAGCCTTTCTCACGATGACGAATATCCGCCATTTTTGGGTGGCATCTAATTCTCGTTAACCAAAGCAGACAATTAAAACAATGTGAAAAGCAATTTTTCAGAATAAGCTAACCATTTACAAAGCAAATTTAACATCATTCGTCCAAAAATTAGAAAAAGTCGCTGTTATGTGGACTTATGTCGCAGAGCGGTGGCGTGAGATATATTGCATCAGCTTTTGGGTTTATTGTTCAATTATATATGAAATTGCAAAGAGTAGATTGATAAAGATTCTTATATCGACATTTTGGGAATCTCGTTCGATACAACTAATAGTGAATGGTTTTTTAGATTGAATTTTCGAACCTAAATTTCTATACACTTTTTTAGACCTAACAACCAGGAGCAGTTGCAAAAAATGCAACTTTATGCTCTCTGGCAGGTTCGATTATATATATACATGAATCTGTGGTTAAGGCTTAGCAATTGGTCTCTGTAGCACAGCTCGTTAGAGCATTATACCGGAATCAAAGCCAAAGGGCCTATTACTTCCATTTTTCGCAGCTGCTCCCGGTTAGATCTAAAAAAAGTGTATAGAAAGATTTAGCGCCAACAAATTTAAACGTATGATAGCACTTAATGCTCATAGCACTTAATGCCCCACAGGAAAAAGTTAAGATTTCATGCATGAGCTAGTTTTTGAAAGAACTGCTGCCAATGGTCAGTTTGTGTTAAATAAAATACATCTGGGTCCTGAAGATCTATCGAATATCGTGCGCTCCTTGTTCGTTGTTGATAAAAAATTGAGCAACACAAGTTTAGAATCTGTAAAATTCTTGATTAAAGAATCTTTGCAATTTCATATTGAGATGAACCGCGTGATACCCCCCACCCCTCTCCCCCGCCTTCGAACTGGTACAATAACTGTGTATAACATGTAGTTTAAAAAAAAAAATATTGCTAATTTTAATAGAAAATGATGATGTTTGGTCGTAAAATACAAAGAAACTGCAGGTTTGCATGAATAAATTCGTGCCAGGCATATCAGAATCTATAAATTTATGTAATTTTAAAGTAGTGCCCGAAGGGAGGCGACAAACTTCGTTTTCTAAGCAGCAACTTTTTTGGTCACAGAACACAGCTATACGCAGGGCCGCCGAGAGGGGGGGAGGCAGGGGGGGCAAATTGCCCCGGGCCCCGAGGCTCTGGGGGCCCCTAGAAATTTAATGTTAGAAATTTAATGGGCCGCAGTAATTTTTTCGGGCGAAATATTTCTGTTTTCGGGCCAAAATGTTTGTGTTTAGGGGGCAATGAACCGAAATTTGGTATGGAAAATTGCGGAAAAGTCCAACGAAAGCAATTATAACGCACCTAAAAAGAAATTATTGTCCGAAACATTTTTTGTGGGAAAATGTTTTTGCAATAGGGGCCCCTAAAAATTTTTTTGGCCCGGCCCCCGCCAAGTTCTCGGCGGCCCTGGCTATACGATGAGCTGTATTGTTTTCATATATAACAAACTAGGTTTTTTCCAAAGCTATTTTTAAGAATATGTTTAATCAACTTTATATTACACAAATAATGAATGTTTATGAGTGCAATGGTAAGAATATTTTCATGAGGTGAAAGATGGAATGTTCCATATAATATATAATATATATAATACCAAAATAGACTAATAGATTCGTATGAGAAGCATTTTGAGGGATGCGATTTATCGAAAACACAAAGAGTGCAATTGTACTATACGTTTTATTCCATTGCACTCGCAGAGAGTGCAATGGAACGTATTCCATTGCACTCTGGGGAAATGGAATTTTCTATTCAATATCACGTGACCATAAACAGCCAATTAAACGATCAGAATTCAATAAGGTATTATATAATAAAGAATAATTTTTTTTTACCATGCACACCTGCAGATTTACAAGAATATTTGTAATCAATACCTGAAAGAGGTTTCTGAATGATCTCCAATGTAAATTCCGACACTTTAGCTTCTTCTGGATAAAATGGCTTCTCTTGAAGGGACTCCAAAGTGATAACATTCTCTTCGCCTGACTTCAATTTTCTAAAATACTCTTGGACATCTTCGTTCCAGCAGATGGACGAGTCAAAGCCCTTGGTGTTCTCAAAGAATTGAGGAACACATACATCCGCCGTTAATCCATTTTTTACACAAAATTCAAATATCTTATTGCGAAAGAAAATATCCACGAGAGACGAAAACAATAACTGGGGCATTGATTCCTTTGGGACGAGCTGTAGTAGTTTGATGTCACAGATCAAGATAATGATGGCGTCACTACTAAAAATCCAGTATGTGCGGCTATCAAACAACTTGGCAGTAATTCTTGCACAACGCAACAAAAGAGCCCACTCAAGATGTTCAGTTTTTTCCTGTATGGTCATTTTATTCAAGACATCAGTTCCATCGAGAACTTTCATTGCCATATACTCGGAACAAATGAAACGACCCCAAACGTCATCACTATGGTGAAATGCGGCATGAAGAAGGTCGATTGCTTTAATACCTAATTCAGATATCAGAACATTCACGTTTGAACTCCCGCTCTCACTGGAATGAAAGAGATAACGCAAAGAAAAGAATTTGAGGTCTAGAAGAGCAGTAGGATATGGCAGTTTCGCACGAAAACATACATTTTCAAAAAAATCGCCGGGTGAAGGATACTTAACTTTAAGAGTTTTCAAGTTATAGTTTGCCATAATGGAGTGCCCGTTGAGTACATCGCAAAAGAAATCTGACTCTTCGTCTTGCAACCAATCTCTTACAGAACTATGGCTGAAATAATATGTACCAGAATCATCCTTTACTAAGTAGCCTGATAAAAGTTTGAGGACTTTATTGAGATCATGCATCTTAATTTCAGGCAGCAAACCACACTTCACAACCCCTGTAACACTTTCATCGCTCTCCTCATAAGCCTGCTGCATCTTCTGTAAGCGAATTATTCCATCTTCAATAAAAATAGAAGGATAGGAAGATGCCAAATCTAACAAATCTTTTATAGGTATCTCTTTGTCTATAAAAGCCTTGGCAGATTGAATGGCAAGCACAATCTGAAGCACAGGTGCAACTTTTTTCTCAAAGAAATCTATATCCGGAAAGCGACGTTTGAAGTCCAAGCAGTAAATCTCAGATAACGAGGCAGGCAAACCAATTTCATCATGGCCATCAAAGATGTGTTCCATCACAAGTTTAGCGTAAAGAAAGCAATTCTGACTAGCCTGAACTATTTTCTCTTTGCCTACCTGCTCGTCATTAGCAAAGAAAGAAGGAATACAGTTATATTCAGTTTGAAGTTTTCTGTACTTGATGGAGACAAAATCACGAATATCTTTGCTAGAAAGGGACTCAGGACCAGTCTCAAATTGGTCTAGTTTAGCAGAAGTGGAATTTAAAAAAAGGCCTAATAGAGCGGGAGCATTGTGTCTTGCAGTCAAAATGACGCGAAGCCACGAAGGAAGTGTTCCTGATAATCTGGCAAGGCAAGAAGCAATCATGGACTCTCCTTCATCCAAGCCATCGATGATAAGAAAATGTTTGGTATTTTCATTCAATTGCTGCAATGGTGTGGTAATTAACAAATCGAACAATGCATTAGGATAATTTTCAAATTTATCAGTCTGTAGTTTCCCAACCAAGGTAGCATATTCGGGAAGACTCTTCGATAGCATACTGCTGAGACTATAGACTAACGATTTCAAATCGCTGGTGCGAGGATTATCTTTTTGGCAGTAATGGTATCCAGCCAAATTCTCTCCCTCGTGCCGACGGACAAACTCTTGGGCAAACGAGCTTTTGCCTGTTCCAGCACCACCCCAGATAAGGAAGGCACGAGACTCCCGAGGCCCGAGGTCTTTTTCTAACCAGTTGTGAATGTCACTGAACAACCACTCACGACCGACAAATTATTCCTTCATTCGATCAGAAACTGGGTTAAACTTTAGCTCTGACCTTCCGTCACAAAACCTTTGCTGTGACTCTGACTTAGCCTTTTCGAGCCGGCTGTCGATATACACTTTTAGCTCTTCTTTGATTTCTTTCTTGGCAATTTCCAGAGCGTCGTGTAGTTCGTTCTTTGTTACAAATTCACCCAAGCGTTTCCTTAGAACTTCAATCTGCTCCAAGGTCACCTCCACTTGATCCTTCCAAAAAGTCATGTCACTTTTCAAAATGTTGATATCCTGACCAAGTTCACGTTGTAACTGAGCGATTACTTCCAATTCTTTTTCTTCAATAACCGCTAGACCAGTGTGGGATAAACTACTAAGCTCTCTCATGGCGTCTTGGACATCTTTGTCACCGTTTAGTTCTGGGTCTTGAAGAAGCGAGGTTAAAGATGCAAACACGTCGACTTTGTCAGTATCACTTACACGCAACAACGGTGCATGCGCCCAAAGATTCCTAGCACATCTTGCCGCTGCTATTTTCGAAAGATCGACACCTGTGTCAAGCATACCATTTGTCCCTCTCGGAGACCATTCTAATACATTTAGTAGTCCCGATATATCAGTAGATTTGGCGTTGACTACATCAACCTTTCTCGGTCCCAAGGGAGCCATGAAAATCTTAGCAATCTCCCATGACGCACCAACGGTCAGCCATTGATTGTTATCACTGTTTCTCCAGGATATTTTTCTTTTATCACGTGATCGATGGGCATTCTCCAAGTGAGATTTCCACGTAGGTACATTATTTGGCAAGGTTGCAAGCAGTGATGTGTGGTACTTGTCAGCAGCATTTTGAATTATGGTTTCTAAGCCGTTCCGGGTAATCTGGATTGCTCGACCAACAGTAACCCAGTTTCTATATTCTGCATCACTTAGTCTACTGTGAGCCATCACTATTTATTTTTAGCCTTGAAAAAAAATGCATTAGTATATTAACCTCCTCCGCAAGCATCTGGAACAACATGTCTAAAGTTTCTACAATATAGCATGCAGTGCGAGCATAACTTTTCTACTGGGTAACCACTGAGCTGTATATACTCAAGAAATAGTGCTCAAGTGGTAAAACAGACACAATAATTACTTTCAGCAAAAGCGGACTAAATTTGGAGATTTCACGTTGGTCACCATATTGAATTTAAACGCGCCGGAGTCTGGGATCTACCTTCACAAGACCTATCTTTTGGTCAAGTTATTACACCGACCTGTAAGGCCAAGTGTCTTAAATCCCTAATTTTCTGTTTTTTTTGGTCGTGGAGAATTTGAGTTTGCGTTATCGGAGGCTCAGTTTCCACTGTTCCAGTTTACTATACAGATCAGCTTTCAAGATGGCGGCCATTCAATTAGCCTGCGAACAGGCTCACTGGGAGAAAGGTGAGCCTGCACGGAACCATGCGTTTTATTCAATCATCCTCTTTTCGCATCTGCTAAACGCGAACCAATCAGCGTCGACTGCGATAAATAAACTGTCAACTGTCAAATTGACGCAAGGCGTGTACATTGTGCAACGAAGAAATACTGAATATTAAAATGTATACATAATGTTATATGAACAATAATACAAAGCATTAGCGGGCCGCACAATATATTACTCGGAAAAATATAGAATTCTTCAAATATTAAATAGATATCAATACACATACAAATATAAAGCCGAATAAAATACTACCATTGGCATTGAATGTACAGTAATACTTGTACTATGTGCGACTGAAAGAACAATGTTCTGAATATTTGAAGCTATTACTAAAATACGGTCAGATAGATTGGGATTTGGAATACCGAATACGTCTAAAATTTTACTAACTGTGGTCTAAATAAATGATAAATGAGCATGTATTTATTAATTTCTTCGAAATCACGAGTGTGTCAATAGTGGAAGCCGTATCGACGACGAAATTGTCAGCAGTTTATACAGTAAATAGTTACGTTTAATGTACGATATATATTTATCTAAATGACATGCCAGCGAGGATCAACAATATAATTATTCGTACATATTTGGGTATCTTTTGTATGCATTCGCTTGCTGACTTGCTCACTAATGAGAATAATCCGTGAAGCCACGACGACCTCAAAATGTACTATACTATAGTCTGATGTCAATCCGAAGACGAAGTTCAGAATACTGTTATAGTTTCGTATATTGGATTTAAGCGATAGATTCAAGTCATTTATGATAGACTTTTTGCTGTGATGCTTTGCTATTGCTTTTGGTTTCTATTTCTAGTTTTATTTGTTCGATAGTCTTATAATATATAATATTAAAATGAATAAAGTTCAAATTCTTCAAAATGCTGTTGTTGACATTTGCTATTTTTAGTAATTTTGTCAACGAGTGTAAACCAATCAGAAGCCTGCGTTTCTATACGAACGCCACTACCAAGAAAACCTATAGTTCCGTGCAGGCCCTCTATTCTTCGCGCCGCCCGTAACCCAGGGCCTGTTC